ACTTTCTGAAATCAAAGGACTATAAAATGGCGAAGTACTCCCATAATTTGCAAAATAATTTGACCAATAATTATAAACACTCTAACGTTACAATTAATACATTTGAAATATCCCCTTTAGATTTTTTTAATACTTTTGATTTGTCTCTTATTAATTTAATATGGACTGATGATTTTATCAATAACCTTATTTATGCAGCAATTTCGTCGTCATATAGTATTTACTGTGATAGAAATGCAAATTGAATGAACCATTTAGGACTAACCTTCTCTCGTTGTACACATTCTTTTTATATGATGACCAGCTTCGGAGATTATTTCAAGACATTTTACTATATACATATATATTTTAATTTTGATTATCATTGACAATTATTGTTTTTTTTTTCATTTCATGTACGTTTTTACGATGAAAATAAAAAGGAGTTCTCATTATTATTATTATTATTATTATTATGCGAACGTGAAACACGAGAGTTGGCCGATTTCGTACAGCTTACCGTTTTATGCATAATTACGTTTTTTTAGTTGATTAATTGGTTTTAAAATTGTTGTACTATGTTGATAAAATTGTGTGGAATATGGCGGTGGTTTTAAAATTTAATTTTAATAAAGTCTACTATTTTATTTTAATTATTTTAATAAATTTAATTTACGAAATTAATGCAAGTAAATGCCCGTATTGCGATAAGGATTTTATTCAAGTAAAAAGACACACCTGGCGTTGTGCAAAAAATACCAACTCTAATAACAACATTGTAAGTTCTGCTGAAAAATCCAACGTTGAAGTTTCTCCTAATATTTATAATGCACATTCTATAGATAACAGTTCAATTAATTTGGAAAAAAATATTATTTGCTGCTGCGGTAAAAGCTGCAAAGGTAGAAAAGGCCTTATTATGCACCAACGTTCATGTAAAATGCATAATCAACTTAAATTAACAGACAACCCTGCAAGCGACGCAGATGCAACCTCACCAACCTCGGAGCAACAACCATCAGAACCATCAAATAATTCGACGTCTACTTCGTCACCCTCACCAACAGAATCAATAGAATCAACTCTACCAGGCGTCAAACTACCAAAAAATTCAACACAATGGTCAGAAGCAAACGCCTACTTCCAACTGCAACAACATACACTGCCAAGCTACCACGACATTGACGCATTTGCATATACATTTCAAAACTGATTTACGACTACTTTGCCTTAAATTATGGCACCATCAAACCTCAAACGATCAACAACAACAAAAGTTCCAACAAATCTATTAAAGAATTAAAAATAAATTATTGGGCCGCAACAACCAGGGCTTTGACAATCTTATCAGATCAACAAGTAAAGAACTGCGAGCCAAACTGTTATCAACAAAAATATCAAAATCTGGTAAGTCATGTGGTGACATCACGTCTCATTTGAAACGACGATTCTTGTGGACATGCAGAAGAATATTTGCCCAGACAGAAAATTTGAAACCGTTGTTCAACGTCAGTGATTGCACACATTATTTCAAACAAATACTATCAGATGATACAACAACAACACACGTTTAGACGACATTTTCCCCGAGATCGGGGGTTGCCGTTTGGCTACCTATGATGAAACCGAAATACCCCTCGACGCCATTCCATCATAAGTAATTTATTTGGCAAATTTTTACGCAGAAACGCCCTTCC